TATGAGTTAAAGAAAATAATTAAAACAAAGCACCAGATCAAGCAGTTGTGGACAAATTAATGTCATTTGTTGATATGTAAATGACATATCAGTTAAGAAAATAATTAAAATGAATCACCAGATGAAGCAGTCATGTGTAACAACATTCTTTTATATACTTTCCTTCATTTTGTACAAACACAATTAGAACAAATTAAGCAAATCACATGTACAAATGGCACAAAATGCTGAAACAATAATAAATGAACCAGCTTAAGCAGTTAAAACTGAAATCATAATCCTGTACAAATGGCACACAATGCTAACCAACTAAATAATATTGTACAAATGCCACACAATTATCACCAACAATCAAATTAGACTCCATAAAACAGCACTTATAGGCATTTGCCTTTCACATTTTCATAACTACCAACATACAGATACAGATCAAGCATTTAAGCAAATCACACCAATCACAATTCCATGGACTAGCTAAAACAGTCACAATGAAATCATAATACTGCCACACAATTCTCAGCAACTTATTAAGTTCTGTGCAAGGATACACAGACAAGTGCCACACATTTCTCACCAACAATCAATTTAGGCTCAATAAAACAACATTTATAGGCATTTTTCTTTCACAATTTCAGAACTACCAACATATAGATATAGAGAGGTTATACAAGTGTTACAACTAACATAAACAAACTATATTTTAAGCAGGAAACAAAAAAGGCATAATAAACCACAAAAAAAGGTTCTCCTGCTATATTACCTTTTATAAAATATTGGAATCTCAATAAGGTCTGTAAACCTCAGAAATGGAGCATTTAAACTACACAAAACATGGCTTATAACAGCTCACATACCAAATCCAGGCAAAGCTTTGTACTGCAGACAAAACATGATTTGCAACACCTTAAAACATGATTTGCAGCACCTTAACACATGATTTGCAGCAACTAAAGTCACATGACAACTTCAACATATTGACAGGGAAACAAGAGCAGGATACACTTACATTAAACAAGTGACAAAACTTGACCCCAACAGTCTTTAAACAGACATAAGAAAGGGAACAAAAAAATGCAAAGATACACTTCTCAGTTACATCTATTCCATCTGTTCCTTAATGCAGTTGAATACCATTACTAGGTCAAATGAACCTATTGCATAATCAATCAAAAAGAATGACTAAAGAGCACAACAATTACCCCATATAAGTTGTAAACAGATTTGCAATCTTGGTCAGAGGGTTCAAAAATGCTTAGCAATTTGATAGAAAAAGAGCACAACAATATCACCAGACAGTGTGTTGTAAACAGTTAACTGAGATATATAGTAAGAACTTGAATACTGTGTGCTGAGCCATAGACCACTTCATTAATACTTAACATCTTTACCAGCTACGCAAGCAAGTAGCTCGGGATTACTGAGATAATTTGTGGGAAAAAAAGTAGAATTGACATATACAGGATTTGAGGTATTGGCACAGGATTTCAAGTTTGCAGTTGTTCAGACACATATACAACATTTAAGAATATTTCTGAAGCAAGTACTCAGACACATATACAACATTTAAGCAAATTTGCAGTCACATATACAGCATTTAAGCAAGTTTGCAGTTGTACTCAGACACATACACACATTCCCCAAACATTGTGTGGCTCAGTCACATTGCGTGGCTCATTCTGTGCCTACTGTGCAGATGCTTTTCTCATGACACTCAAATAAAACATGGACTTCAAGGAAAAATTATAAATGTGAAGAAAGAAAACATAGTAATGAAACTTATATTTCTAACAGGAAAAATCAGTGGGGCTATCATAGTAATGGCAATGAACTAAAAGCTGCCTTGAACCTTGAAACAAAAATAACAGGGACTATAATGGCATGATATCCATTTGTATCTGCAGCGGTGGAAGCATAGCTTTTCAATAGATGGCACATGTAATCTGATCATTCTTATCTCCATAATGCAGATTTGCAGTATCTTCTATCAACTGAGAGGATACAACACAATGTTCTTATAATGCCTACATACAACAAAAGGTTCATATAATGCCCACATACAACAACACAAGGTTCCAATATTGCCAAAAGAGAGTTCAATAGGGCAAACTTACTACACTCTAACTCTGATGAAAAGAAACAACCAAAACAGCACGTATAACACATAACCCACACTATAAACAAAGGAATAGTAAAAAAAACACATAATTTCAGCAAGACAACGCACAAACAGAGGTTCCAACAATTTATCCAAATCAAGGATGAATTAAGGCACAATCACAACAACTCAACATTTTTACAATCTGAAACATTAAGATTAAAAAAGGAAATTTTCGATTAGAGTTCATCACCTTGCGGCCTCACGGAAAATAGCGAAGTTATGGCTTCCCCCTCCCTACTCGTGCCCGTCGCGGCCGAAGTGAACTAGGGTAAAAGCCCCATTTTCATAACAACAGTAATGTTAAACTAGGCCAAATCACAATAAAAAATATTATTACAAATCACAAAAATAAGGGGAACATTCGAACTTACCACAGACAACGGAATGATGAAGAATAACAGGTACTCAACAACGAACAAGGATCTAAGCACCTAGGGCAACATGAAGCAGGTATATTAAGCACAAAAAAAAAATAATGTCCGAAGCTAAAAAAATGGCCGAATAAATCAAACTTAATAAAGTGAAGTAATGGTGATTAAAAGGGGCTCCCTGCAAATAGGGCAAAATGCCCGATTTTTCAAATCAATGGACGCACGAAATATCGAAATTGAGAAGGTAAATGGCATTTTTGGAGCTCACTTGTAAACGCGACGGAGAAGCCGAAGCTAGGGTAATGCTCGTCTTCGTTTCTGCAGAACCTAGGGCAAATTGCTCGTCTCCAATTATTGTCCCCCGAATGTTGCGAAAAATTGAATGAAATCGAAATTGAAAATGAGAGTAGAAACAAGAGAGGAACTCACCTTACGATTCTCAGAAGCTTCAACTTCTTCCCAACAGTGGCGTCGCAACTCTTCTTACTGCAGCTAGGGCAAATGCTCGAATTTTGCCTTTTATTTGAAATAAAAGTGTAAATTCAATGAAATAGAGGGGTATTTTTGTCTCATTACAGAAAAATATGAGGACAAAAAAGGTAGGATAAAACCGAGATTAAAATATCACGTGGGTGGACCGGGATTTAACTGTCCGAAATTCGCCGATAGGGGCGTGCCACATGGACGCCAGGTCATACGAATCTATCCCATTCCCACGGAGTAAACGTGAGATAGCGGGGATTATTTCCCATATCCTATCCCAATCATCCGAAGTAAACGACCCCTTAGTCTATGAGACTGACCACAATTTGTTTAAGAATAGTCAATACCTTCATGAGATAACTAACTAGTAAACGTGGTATGTTTTTGTAAATTGGGCCAACTAAGAACTAGTATTATATTATGTACGTAATGAGAGTCACAAACTAATAATTTACTACAAACATATCATATGCTCAAATTGAAACATTCAACTAAAATTACTAGTACAACGCCCGTGTATTACACGGGTGCTTGCTAATTTTTTTTTTTTAAATCTAAAATTAATGAAAAAAAATAGTTAAAATTTTAAATACCTTTTTATAAATATATATATATATATATTATTATATATTTAGTATGACATTTTTTATTTGTGTGACCTACATGTGTTGTATTATAATAAGTTTTTTTTAACTTACAACATATAACTACATTAAACATAAATATATCATTTAAGAAATAATTTTATTTTTTAATGAATTTTAATAAATATTATTATTTTTTATTATTATAAAGATAAATATAATTTATTTACTTCATATATACAATATGGATGTCAAAACGAAGATCATTAAAAGATGATTAATTTGATGTATTATATATGTAAAACCGATAAGAAATACAAAAGTTATCAACTTTTAAAATACATTTACAATTCAGTAGCTAATTGAAAGAAACGAATCAAAAGTCAGGGATATATTAGTCATTTAGTGTCTCACTACGTAAAATTACAAAGAATTAAAGAGTTATATTTGTACAAGTGATATTAAAATACCTAAGTTAGCTAAATAATATTTCTAGAATGTCCGAACCTAGATTATTAATTATTAATATATCAATATTATTTGTCCAAACCTAATTACGAAGCATGATTCTTCGCCAAGTAGAATTCCGAAGCACCAGAAGCAGCCACGTAGGCTCAGCGCATTCGGGAATTATATATAGGAGGGATGAGGACGATTAAAATATTGAAATTCTAGCAAATCTCAAAAAATCTTTATAAATCTTAGTCTCAAATAAGTTAAATATTTCAAGTGTAAGACTTTTCAGATATTGTAAGACTTTTCAGAATCCCAGATGAATACTCAAAGGCTTTTAAAAGTCTTGGAAACTCTAAATTAAATACACTAGAAGTTCTTCTGAATAAGTTTTTAGAAATCTCAAATGAATACACCCCTCTAAGAGATTGTGAATGAATACTGTGAAATCATAATTAAGTCTGGAGATGAAATTTGGAGTATGATTTCGTATGCAGCTTTTTATTTTGACATCTAACCATATCTTACAAAATTTTCACAAATCCTGGTTTTAAATAAGTTAAATAGCTCATGATTTTATAAGACTATCTTCTTAAATTTAAATGAATACCTGACAATTTTTAAAAGTTCTAAAATGTCAATAAAATCCAAATTTTCGAAATCTTAAAAAGTCTTTACAAATTTCAAACGAATACGATATCTAAAGAGTGAGTCTAATTGTCATCCTAATGAGTTCCATTCCAAAATAAATTTGTAATGAAAAAAAAAAAAATTACACACAAATTTTTTTTTTTTTTTTATAATCTAAGCTCATTTATCCTACAAATTAATGTGGGGCAAGTGATCTTTTTTTTGGTACAGAGGTTTCCGGATTCACAGGGGAACTGACTAATCCGGAATCGAGGCGGGTAGGACCACAAGGGGCAAGTGATCTTTCAATACATTAGTTTGATGTATGCCCAACTTTTCTGGACATATGTCAACCTGGTATAACAATAATCAAATTTTATTTTATAATCTATCCCTAAAAAATAACAAATAAATAATAAACGTGTAATAATAATAATAATAATAATAATAATAATAATAATAATAATAATAATAATAATAATAATAATAATAATAATAATAATAATAATAATAATAATAATCAACCCCAACTTGCCTATATACGCATAACGTTCTTGATTGTCAACTTTCTAGAAAACTGATTGAAGGGCACATATATAATACTTTCTTGTGGTACTAATTTGACATAGTATAATTATCTTCAAGTATTTGACTTTGTTTGACAGTATCAATCTTAGGATATAGCAACTAGTTTTACTTAATTATATCCTTGTTTTCTTCTCTTTATATACCTTCTCTTCATTTGCCATTGTTGTTGTTTTTCTCCCTTGCATTTGTGTGTTGAAGGTGGCTAACTCATCAAGAGAGGATTTTTACGCCCGAAAAAGGGTCGGTGTCGAAAACGAGGCTTTCGATGTGGAGAATGAGAGTTATTATTACATCGACTGGGTGAGTTCGCTAGTTTTTCCCGGGGTCGATAGGGAGCAAGAGATGGCAGCCATGGTTTCGGCTTTGGCTCGTGTGGTGGCCGGAGATGTGGCGGCCGATGGCAGCTGTTCTTCGTCTCCATGCAGCAAAAGGGCACGTGATGATGATTGTTCTGAAAATTATACTGATTTTGCCATTGGGAGTTCTTCAAACTTGGGACCATCATCATCTTTAGGTACATTTTATAAGGAATAAAAAGAAAAGGTTTATTTTCTTATATAAGTTTATGGTTTTGTTTGTTTTATTTAAAGTCTGATTTATTCTTAATCTAGTCAAATTTTGATCCGGATTAGTCTTTGTTAGGCTGCCTAATGGTTAAGTTCAATTTCGCTATGGAGCCATCGGATGACTCGACTTATGAAATCATCCATACTTATTCACCAATAGTGTATTGATACGTGTCCTACAATAAATACAAATTGGACAGGTGTCAACATATTAAGTGGTGGATGGTTTTATAAGAAAATCATCCGATGATTCCATAGACTTTTTGTGGTTCATTATACTCTTACACAAACTATTTATACGTATTTTATAATCAAATGTTAGTATTTTAAGCTACTAATATAAAAAAAAAAAAAAAAGTATGACATATTGTATAAATATGCATTGTGTCAGAAAATATAATTACAATTTCCAAGTCTCTTATACAAACTACTCCCTCCTATTCAAATTATATGTCGTTTTGACTTTTTTGATTCATCCATTTTGTTATGTATCTGGACATTAATATGTCTAGATACGTAACAAAATGGATGAATCAAAAAAGTCAAAACGACATTTATAATGAATAGGAGGTAGTATTTTCTTTTCTAACTTACAATTACCAAGTCTCTCTCTTTCTCACTTTAATTGCTCTGTAAAATTACAATTGATTACCATTAGCGCCAATCACAACTCACAAAAAATGCCAAAAAAAAAAAATAAAAAAAAAAAATTGCAGAGACCATCAATTCAAGTCAAATCAGGTCAACCATCATAACCTCACCAAACTCGATCTACACTTACACTCCAACTCATCCTCAAGAAGCCGAAAACGCCTCGTCAAGAGGGAACCGAAAGTACAGGGGCGTGAGGCAGAGGCCGTGGGGCAAGTGGGCAGCCGAGATTCGGGACCCGAACAAGGCTGCCCGTGTCTGGCTCGGCACCTTCGACACGGCCGAGGCCGCTGCCCGAGCATACGACGAGGCTGCCCTCCATTACCGGGGCAACAAGGCCAAGCTCAATTTTCCCGAAAATGTTCAGCTCCTTCATTCTAACGACCGGCTGCCCGTTGGCAACACGGTCTCGACTCCTGCAGAGCATCGGGGGCAATTTGGTAATATTGGGTTTCAGGGGCAGTTTAGTAATTTTGACCTAGGGCGCGCGGGGCCTGAGTTGATGATGGGTTATGATACTTCCAGCTTCCAATCTTATGGGCCTGAGTTGATGATGGGTTATGATACTTCCAGCTTGCAATCTTATGCACCGGCGGCCGATGCTTATCGTGTGGATTTTCCGGCAGCTGAGCAGCCACCTGAGGTGGATGTCCGGCGGGCGAGCCGGCGAGGTTTTTCGAGGATGGTTACCCATCATCAGACTTCAACTTCTGGATGATTTTGCTAGTATGGGTTGATTATGTAAGAGATTTGATTGTTTTCGTAATGATTGGTGAATTTTGTTGGTTGCTATTGTCAGTTGATATGAGAAGCATATTTTTCTTGAATAGAAGCAAATGAATATTCTAGAAACAAAGGGCAGCAAAGTCATAAAGGTGCAAGTAAATTAACTGCCCAAAGTCTGCAGTCACGAAAGTTCAATGAACCACGATCACAATGTTCACAGAGTGACAAACTAATGTAATGGCACACTTTTCTGGTCACGAGCACAAATCCATTCATTTCTAAGAGAAATAAATTATATTGCATGTTTCAACTGTCTGAATAAAAACCACATGAAAAAACGACAAAAACGAAACATTAGAAAGGGACAGGACATGGAAGAACCATACGAATGTCCGAGTGCCAAATATATTCCGAAAGTCGGGGCCCACAATAGCGACGAAAGATCATCCTGCCTCTAGCCATTGGAACCGAGCACAAGTGCTGAAGTGCTTCCTGCATGAAAAAAATTACCTACCCAAGTCGGATTCAATTTTACAATCAGTATTCTCGAAAGTAGCAATTTGTTAAATAAATACAAAACCAGAAGACTATTTCTGTATTTGTTGTTCTAACAGTTAGATGGAATTTTAATATCTTCTCTGGGTAATATAACTAACTCAATGATTAGCTGGAAGTTTTGTGAAGGCCACACATTGAGAAGACAAATGACTGCTAACCTTTTAAAAGGAAATGTAGATATACATTTCTCAAACTCTAAGCACGGCTTTGTGGACCATTGTCTCCTTGTGGATTTGGTGGCAACTCTTCTCTACTAGATCGAGAAGCTTCTCCAAGTTCATCGCCCATGAATTTAAAATATCATTGCTGTCCTTGGCCGATTGGAAATTGATCACCCCCACGGGCCTATCGATCTTCGCCACCAATGCTTTTGAGACAACCATATCCGAGAGATGCTTTTCTGCTTCCTGCAATGTGAAAGAACATGCAGCTGATTAAACAAAGATGATACATAAGATCCGTAATGCAATCGTTCAAATGTTCGAATAATAAAACATAACTCAATTTATTTACGAATATAAAATATATCACCAACCACACAGATAAGCTGCTAATCAATTATGGTATCATTCATCGATAAAATCTGCACGCTTAAATTAGTAATAATATTTAACTACCACCTATACCAACAAAAATAATATATAAATCCCCCTATATATTAATCCACTATATATTAATCTAGAATGCGCTGAGCCTACGTGGCTGCTTCTGGTGCTTCGGAATCCTATGTGGCAAAATTACATGCTTCGTTATTAGGCTTGGGTAAATTTTTTCCAAACCAAAAATAATTAGGTTCGGATTACCATAAATATGTTGATTGATTGTTTATGGTCATGTTACATTTATTAATTGCATTTTAATATCATTCCTTATTATAACTATTGAATTGTATATATATTTTAAAAGTTAATAACTTTTGTATTTTTTTATCATTTGTACATATGTAATATATCAAATTAATCTTCTTTTGATGAGCTTCGATTTAACATCCATATTGTATGTATAAAAAAAATAATTTATATTTATCTTTATAACAACAATAAAATTATTTTTAATATTAATTAGAAAAATAAAATTATTTATCAACTAATATATTTATATTTCAAATAGTTATATGATATAAGTTATAAAAACTAATATAATATAACACATGTAAGTCATAAGTAACACATATCATTCTAAAATATATAGTAATATATTTTTTTTGTAAAAAAGTAAACTAAATTTAATATAGTTTTCTCATTAATTTTAAAATTTAAGAAAAAAATTTTAACAAGCACCCGTGTATGTACTAGTATGATGATACATCGTAAAAGTTGAAGAGAGATGTGAGTTCATAATTAAGAATAACGTTTGGAACTATTGGACGTCATTTGATATTTTAAAACAACAATGAGCAAACCAATAATAATTAACACCTCCATATTGACTCACTTCCCTCCAGTATAACCCAACATATCAGTGAATATATATTTAAGTAAAAAAATAATAGGCATTAATTGATTTTCTCAGATTGCCCAGGCTCTTCAACAAGAAACTTGGATCTGGAATGAAAGTTACTAACTTAAAACTTTAATATAAAATGACACTGAAGACATGTCCTCAAAAAACAAACATGGTTTAAAAAGCAACATGGGATGCTTAAAGTCAGCTCAACAGTATTCGTTCATTCAAAATCTCTTAGTATCTTACAGCACAAATCATTCAGAAACAGCATGTAGAGTGTAGACAGACCTGGACTGTAAGGCATAGCAGATCAGCAAGTCTCTTCAAGGTAATCCGTGAATAGTATTTTGAGACAACAAGGATATTCTGCAAAACATTCCACAACTTATATAAATATATAGACATAGTATCTAAAAGAAACGAACAATGATGTCATCCAAAAAGGCATTGGACATGAATCTTCAAATATTATACAGTTGATGTGAGTTTTAACGATTATTACATGTTCTATTACTCTGAGTTTCAGATCTTCAGCTGCCTTTTCACCTAAAGAACCACCAACCATGTTCTTTTCACTCTCAAACTCATCTTTGAATGTGCCCCATAGAGATGTCCACTGAATAACCTCCATAGTAACTAGTTGTTTCAACAGTGACCTAATGGAAGAACAACAAGCACTATAAGATTTGAGTACCATATGCTGGTGAAGAAAATCAAAGCAATAGCCATAAAGATAATATAGGGCTGACCTGAAATGAGAAATTTCTGAGAGGTTCTTATCCTCCAAGGTTGAATTAAGAAGGCTAGACTGCATAGGATCATGAGGGGACAAGGCCAGATACCAACATATTTTTCTCAACACCTGCAACATATAATCAAAACTAAATAAAGTATTCAATTTGAGACAAAAGAAAGTAAACAGACCAAACGAAACAAATATAATCCCTACACACAACATCAAAAGTAATTACAACCACAATATCGATGATATACCGGTATCCACTGGTCAGGGTCTTCTTTCACAGAGGGAATCTCATATATTGACTTGTAACAACGGCATATTTCAAGGTAATCATTGTTATGTGAGTAGTACCTGCAGAAAATGAAAAACAATTAAACAACATACTATAGATACGTGAAAAATGACGGGCCACTCCTAAAGTGAGCAGTGGGAGGGTGAGATGATAAGCTGATACTTCACTATCTAACATTGCAGAAGTTATATTATTTTCCAGTCATGTCACAAAGACAAATCTATTGGTGACACTTGTGGTGAATCATTAAGATTTACATACCTGCCTTTATACAGTTCTCTCACATTTTAAACACAATGTACAATTAAAGTTAAATTACTGAAACTCAGTAATATAAAATATATTCATGACCGCAAAGTTTGTCAAATCATTCCTGGGATTAACAATGTCTACCCATAATCATGAGTCACTGAGTTTCATATGAGATCATAAGCATAAGCTGTGACTGCAACATACTTCTGGCATCTGCTTTGAGAAGAATATAAACGGCATGTTACAAAGTGAACATTGCAACACAAACAACAAGGGGTGAAAATGTCATCAAGTCATTTCAGGTATAAAGATAAATTTGAACTGGAAAGGAGGAAACGGGAAATCAAATTAGCATGTTAACAGTAAATCAGTCAAGTATGCTCAATGGAACTGTTATCAACAAAATTCAAGGAAATAACATTCAGCACTAAACAGATATATGGACATCAAACAGTAAAAAAAATATATGTAGCTAGCAGTAGTCATTGCAAGCAAACAAAAAAGTTCCTTAAGGATTTAACTTCAATGCAAGAGGTACCCATAGTTCATCAAAACCATATGTAGAAGTTATGAAGACAACTTTTCGATACTTCAATCATAAGGAACTAAATATGAATGCCAAAGATAAATGAAATATGATTAGCAATTAGCAACATGCAGGATGGTGCACATCCATCATGTAAAAGTTCGATGAGTGCACTTAAAAATTTACATATGGTAATGGTGGAATAATACATATGAAAACAGAAAAAAGCCTGTAGTACCTACCGAATCATTAACTGGTAGTAGATCTTTTTCAACTCCAACAGTGAAGGAATATCAGCAGCAGGTTCTTCAACAATGCTTTCCCCTTCTTTAGGCTTCTTTTTTTCTTTCGATGCATCGGCTTCAAACACTCTAGGACTAATTTTTCTTGAGAGTATTTGTGCACGGACATAGTCCTGCCGATCTAAACACAACCGGACCTGCAAGTTATGGGAAAAAGGGTGTCAGTTACATGGACCGGTCTTAAGAAGAACATTCACTGTAAAATACATAAAAAGAAAGAGGACAAAGCCACATACTTGCTCAAGTATGAATGCTATTTTCTCAGTTTTTGCCATGGCGCCAAATGTTTCCACCTGTTGCACAAATCGGTTCAGCAAGCTAGTTAAGTACTTAAGTCGAACTAACTAAATTATCAAGGCCAACGATCTGAGAATTAATGAAAAGACATCCACTGACCGCAATCTCTTGCATCAACTCAGCAGCCTCTGCTATTTGATCTTGTTCTTCCTTAATCTTTGCAAGTTTCCTAACCAGACGAGCCCTCTCAATCTCCACATAGATCTGTCAAAAAATAAACAGTGAAATGAAATCAAAGTCCTAAAAATTCTTAGTTAACAAATTACATAACTGTTTTAGGTTTTTCCTGCATGAGAATCACCTTTCCAGCTGACACGTTGTTAAGTGTTTTGATAAGCTCTATTTTAGTATCAAGATCTGGAGTTTGATCAATGTAAAGCATTGCTTGTTGAACCATGGATTGTACAGCCTGCATCAAAGTACCAAGATAAAATTCAAGCCTGCACCACACCGCAAATGCATATACCTACCACTATCCCACGCCAATCACACATATAACACCCCAGATAACTAGGCAAGTAAATCTCATGACTTCTTGTTACAATGAGAGATATACCTAGAAAGAAATTTAAAATGAAAAAGTCACCACAGGTTTCTGCCTACAATACTTATAGAGGAAATACTTATTTGCACCTCGTTCTAAAAAATGAACAAGTTTTTCACACCCCTGGATAAAACGTTAACTTTTTTCATACCAAAAAGTGCGAAAGCATTATGCGGTAATTATGCGACAATTGTGCGATTGACATTGTGCGAAAGTTGAAAATGTGAAGGCATCCGCATAACCTTCGCACTTTCTAATCGGAATAGTGATTGATAAGCAACAGTTACAAGATATGTGACAGTTATGCGAACCATTCGAATAACCTTCGCATTTTCCGGGGTGAAAAAATTAGATTATGAGCTAGCGGGTGAAAATACAATGTAATCTTTAAGACGGGGTGTAAAAGAAATTTGTCCATACTTATATTACCACGTAAATATAATAAATTAACACCGAGAACAACGTATGTAAAAAGTAGCCGCTAGAGTATCTCTTTGGAAAATAACTTGTCTAAGTGATAAACAATAGTTTGTATTGGAAACACAGAGATCACTCGATTAGCTATGAAGTTAAAGTTTATAAATCATAGATGATGTTTATTAAATAACATGACAATTAAATGGTTTGTAATTGGAAAACTTGGCATCGATGAACAATATATTGAGCAAAATAAAAGTTTAGGTTGATGGTCGACTTGATTTTATCCATGGACTGGCCCGGTAGACGGAATTGGTGATTGATGAGCTCAAATTCTGAAACATCAAATGCAGTGGGCTAAAAATTAAATATAAAAATTACAAAATAATTCTTCGAGAACAGATCTTCCATAAAAATTAATGGGCACCAACCTTTATCTTTCTTTTCCTACACAAAATCATAAAAAATTTTAAAAATACCAACCATGAACAAGAGAGAATCACAAGAGTACGAACCACTAATTTCATAGCTCAAAATAATCTGATTTTGGAAAAAAGAGTCATAAATAGTCTTTAATCTACACAAATAACCACAATATACTATGTCATAAAAAGTCTTTACGTACTAAAGTGACATGGTTTGTGACACAAACGAGCTACATAGTCACCCAGATCAACAACGTAAGGCCAGAACGTCTATCAGAAGCGAGAAGGCTGCACACACATTGACAACTCAACTTACCATCTCAACTCTAGACCAGTCCACAAATACTACAAAAGGTAAATGCAAGCAAAAATCTTAAGAAACAACGGCACCTGTTTCAACTGGCCACGCCGCTTGGAGATGAGCACAATCTGTTCGTTAAGTGTCTTCCACGCGCCGGCCTCGATGCATAGCTTCAGAATATCGATGACGGCCTTCCGAGTGCCTGCAACGTCACCCACCTGCCTCATCTGCTTCTCGACGTTCAGAAGCATCTCGATTTTCGCCTCCAAAGTATTTCCTCCATTTTCCTGCGCAAACGAACCCAGAAAAATTGAAGCAGCGAGATCCAAAATGCGCGAACAAATACAGGAAAAATTTGGCAAATTGAACACTATCAATACGAATTTGCTTACCATTTTTTCGGAATTGAATCAAGGAGCTGGTAAATTTTCGCGCAATCCAAGATGAATAAAACCCTAGAGATGAAGTAGTGAAGGGGAAAGGTGTACAAGAATTGTTCGACCTTATGTTAGCTTGAGAGAAAAGTTGCGTTCGGAATAAAATATTAATACTACATGAATTATTCGTCAATTATTATGGGATTAGTATTTGATTTTGTGCCCATAATAGATGTTTAAATTATTATATGTTATATGTATGTATATAATATTAAAATTATAAGTTAGATAATAGTAGTACATTTTAAAATTTTGTCATTTATTCAACTTCATCACTATATTTATTAGTACAATCCCGTGTGATGTACGAGTAAAAAATATTTATTACTTTTTATAAATTAAAATGTTCGTTATATAGTATTTATAATTTAAAATATAGAATCAATATGTAATACAAATTACTAGTGCAACACTCGTGTATTATACGGGTGCTTGCTAATTTTTTTTCTTAAAATCTAAAATTAATAAAAAAAAAAGTAGTTTGAAAATTTAAATACCTTTTATAAGAATATATATATTATTATATATTTATTATGACACTTTTTATTTGTGCGACTTACTTGTGTTATATTATGCTAATTTTTTTTAACTTGCAATATATAACTACATTACATATAAATATATCAATTGAGAAATAATTTTATTTTTCTAATGAATTTTAATAAATATTATTATTTTTTATTATTATAAA